GTAGTAGTAGTAGTAGTAGTAGTAGTAGTAGTAGTAGTAGTAGTAGTAGTCGTAGTCGTAGTGGTAGTGGTAGTGGTAGTGGTAGTAGTAGTAGTAGTAGTAGTAGGTTGTTTGTTGTTTGTTGTTGTTGTTGTTGTTGTTGTTGAAGCAGCAGCAGCAGCAGTAGCAGCAGCAATAGAAGTAGTCGTGGTGGTAGTAGCAGTAGTCCAAAGAATCCTTGACCCGACACCTTTGCAGGGGTGAGGAGCCCGGAGTCCTTGGCGCCGCAGGTCCAGATCGCCGACAGTAGCCGGCGGGCCCTTTGGAGGCGGGTGCTCGCCTGTACAACGAGCATGTGGACGAGCCATGCTGTTTTTGGTGCCAGTGGGTGTTAGTTTCGAAGATGGGTGTGTATAGGGTGTGTCCCATTTTTCCTGTAACAGCCGGTAAATGAGATGATCACTATGTTTGAGAGCGCGCCCCATCCTCATCCAAGGTGATTTTTTCCAGACCATCCATGTATGGAATAAGTTATATAAGTTATATACATTAATTTACCCCATGTGTAACCCCAAGGTATATAACTATTCCAGTCCCATATGGATTGTTTGGTCGTGCAGGGCAGTGACCTTTTCTTTTCAGGAAGAGGACAAATCCACCACTCTAAAACCTGGTTGGAGGGTCTCCCTCTTCAAATACATGGTGCCGGTGTTTTACTTGTCCATTCTAAAATTTGTGCATATTCTTGGGGTAGAAAGAAAACCATGGCCAAGCCCGAAAGCAGCTAGTACATTCCTTTTTCCATGGATCCAGCTTACCGCTATATATGAGGAACCAGGTTTTCAAGGTTTACGTATATAGCATACTGCTGGCGTTTCTCCTGTGCCATAGAGGACGTGTTGTTTGCCGCATGTCACGCGATAGCATCGGCCTTTTGTCGATCTCATGTAGGGATTCTCTACATCAGCTACAGCTTGTAGCAAGGAAAAAGGGTTGAAGTGTGTTGCTGCCAAACTGCCAAACTTCACGTTTGATGAATCGCAATGACATTCTTATAAAGCCAAGCAATTGCACCTTTTTTTGGTGGGGGTGTCTGTCATTGCCTGCGGATAGTACTAATAGGATAACCCGTATGGGTTTGTCCACTGAAATCCAACCAGTGGAAAAGGGTCAAGCAATATTTTCCAGGGAAAGGGTTTGCCTCAAAAGTGGATACCCCAGCAGTCGTGCGGACTCCATGGAGGGTGCCGTCGAGGTGCCCCTGTCACGTCACATCCACGAGCCCTGGATGGGACTAAACACCACCCCCAACATGTGACTCCTTGGACCTTTGACTTTCAAACAGCACACGGTGGCTCCGGTCCAACAGGATCGAACCGGGTTCGAAGCGTCGAAGCGTTTCTTCGGATCGTCTCTTTACGGCCTGCGAACCCGCTGGGGGGGGATTTGGGGTGTTCGACGTCTCTCACGGATCTCTCTCCCCCTCCGGGGTGCGAAGGAGCGGGTCGGTTCCCCGAAGAAGTCCGTTTTGCTAGAGACCGTGGGACCCGGGAACCGCGGGAACCGCAGGAACCGCAGGAACCGGGACCGGAACCGGGACCTCACTTGGTTTCACCCTGTCATTTGAAGCTGATCGTTCTCCCAGTTGTGTTTTTTGTGTCGGGCTGGGGTACTTTTTGGGGTACTTTTGTTGCCTTGCAGGTTTGCTGCCTTGACCTACCGACCTTTGGTTTCCAACCTTCTCCAACTTAACAACCCAGGAACCCGTTTTTCACCTCAAGAAACCTTTGAATACAGGACCATCCAGTAGCATCCAGGACCTGAGTGTTCTGGCTGGACTACCCCACACTACCTGGTTTTTGCTTAAGGTGCATGATTGTTTATTTTCTCCATGGTTAAATCCTTTGGTAATTATGTATTTTATTTGTTTCCGGTTCCTTATAACTATAAGCATCCCGTTTCCCACGGAGCTGCCATCTTGGCCTATCGAAAAGGCCAGTGTTGGTCGTGGTCCAGGAAGTCCGTGGGTTGGCGCAGCTACACTCTGACTCACTAACCCTCGTGGATCCTGGCAAACCACGAACAATCGTAATTAGGTAACCAACTAGTCTAAGGACCCTCCAAGGGGTGTCCTGGCTGGACTACCCCACACTACCGGCCTAGGCTTCCAGACAGGGCACCCCGCGGTGTCGGGTCCTGGTAGTGGTTCCAGTTCCACTAAATCAGTGAATCGGCCGAGGGCCCTTGGTTCCAATAGGGAGACCTCCGAATGACCCCCTGCGTGGAAGAGTAATTACAACCCGTTGGCGCGCGGAAGTCCCCATGAAGAAACACAGCCATATAATGGGATCCACTGGGTAAGACGGAAGTGGATGGCATGGTCCCTTGGTAGACTACTGTCCTTTACGAACAGTGGATTTTCACTGATTAATGTGATGTGTTCTTCAGACTTTAGCTTGAACCTTTTGTTAGGGGATTGGGGTTTTCCTCACAAAAAATCTAAGCTAGGTGGAAAGTTAGGTTAAAGCTTGATTCTTGCACAGCCACTCCATGTACAGCCTATGATATGCCTACATTGACCACCCACACCACCACCACCACCACCACCACCACCACCATGGTATGCCATGTCCCATGCGACTGGTCGTGTTTGGGGTCAGGATCTCTGATATTGCCCAGACACTCCATGGAACTGCCATATATGCCGATCAGACCAGGGGTGCATCGGCAGTCCTATGGCAGTCCCATTTGTCGCGTCTATCGGGTCACCGGTCATGCAGGTTGCTGCGATCCTCGGTCACGATGCTCATCATGGTCGCCGGGGTCACCGTCTTCGCCGAGGGCCTGGCGGGGAACGTGCAGAAGGCCGGCGCGGCGCGTGAGTGGTGCGACGGGGCAACACGAGATGACACGTGGGGTGCGTGGAAAGGAAACCAAAACCACCGTGAGTTGTGAGTTGATCATGATTTTCCTCAGACACTGTTACGAGTAGTTTGGCATCGTCGCCCCCTGACCCTCGTACACCCCTTCTTGCGCCGTGGTGGAGCGGCGCGTGCAGGGCTTCGGCATGGGGTCGAAGAAGATCACGCCCGTCGAGGCCACGCGGGTGCTCTGCTTCTCACCGCAGGGTCCATGTGGACGGAACGAGGCTTCCAGGCGACGGAGCGGAACGGACCGTTTTCAGCGTCCACCGTCGTGCTTCACTTGATCGATATGTTAAGCGGAGGGAGTCAGGTTCCGCAAATCAAAGCACCTTGTTCAAGAACGTGTGTTCACGTGTCACAAAGAACCTGGACCCGACTTCAAGTACCTTGGAAAATGGGACATGACCCTAAAGTAGCCATCCCAGGGCATCCAGTTACTAGTTGGCTGGTCACCAGTGGTTCCGAAGACTAACACCATAGACCGGTCACCGAACCCCTTTGAGAATCCAGGGTCCGTCGGGTGCTCGCGGACGGGTCCGCGAGGCGGACCCAGCGAAAGCAAGGATAGAAAGGATGGAAGAACGGATGCATCTACCCACGGTTCTGAAAACCCTACCTGTCCAAGGGCCAAGGACCAAGCCCGGTCCTTCATCTCATGGAGTTATTGTTTTGGATATCAAAAGATCCAGTGAATGAGGTCCGAAAGACCTGTGAGGATACACCCTGAAAGACTTGTAACATGGACGCTGAAAACCACTGGTTGGTAGAGGAAAACCAGAGGGCCTTTGACAGGGTCCGCATTAAATGAGTTTTCGGGAGTATATTGAGCCGCCGCTTGGGAGCTCGACTGGACGTCGGGACGGCACCCGAGACCAGCCTCAAATCCTTTAAGGAGACATTCGGTCCGGGATTTTAAGAGGTGGTGTTGGCTGAAACAGCTGCATGCAAAAAGAACGAACGCCCTCCCCCACCGGTGACGAAGCAGAACATCATTTGGCACGATGGACGTTTTTGTTCACGCGATGGACGCTGCGATTCTCCCGTCAGGAAGTGAACACTACCTTCAACGATGTCAAGGGTTGTGACGAAGTGAAGGTGGCGCTGCTCTCGCATGCGTCGAGCGACTTGCGGACGAGTGATCGGGTGGATGGAGATGCCCAGAGCATCCATTGCGACTGGAGACCTTCGGGGCCATACATGAAATAGTTCAATGTACCAGGACCATCCAATGAGTGTCCCCACACTATATCCGGGATCTGGTCCACACCCAGACTGTACTATCTTGGCTGTACAGTTGGCGAAGCTGTAGAACACACCCTGCCACTCTAACACCACTTGCCTTGCAGCCTGTGTCTTCGGTCGACTGCACAGCGTGACGCCTTGGGGTACTGTCTTCGTGTCTCAGACGAGACATGCGAAGAAATGGATTCCACCGCGGAATGTTGCGTAGGTCACTCCAACAGGTCACCTACCACGTACTAGGCTGAGAGATCTATCCATTTCAGCCACCCAAACCGTTGAAGGCCTGTTAGTATAGAGGGTGCTGGTCTTTTTGCCTGGAGGTTATAGCTCTTTCTGCGGGATTTGGATAGTTGGAAGATCCAGGTACATGCTTCTATTGGCCCCTGAAACATCCTGAAACAAACCACCCCAACACACGCAGTGGGCTGGGGGACGTCCAGGATGACCCGTTCGGCAAGCACCTGCAACCTCGCACATGTGTTGTTTTTCTTGTTGTCGGTGGTTCAACATCCCTCTATTTATAGGTCTGTGAACCACATAAACCTCCGCAACCGAAATAAACATCCGCTTAAAAAATAACATGCTTGGGGAAGAACGCCTTTGGCTCATCCACAAGCTTCTGTACAAACGCTCGTGCAATATCAGAAAAGAATCAGAAAACTAGAGAAACATCCGCAGACTCAAATATAAGGCTGTGACTCCAAAAGATATGTTTCACGCCGCAGAAAAAAAGCAAACACACACTGAGGAGGTTCCAGGCATGTCGCCCGGTGTCGAATCCACCTCGTCGCCTCCCAGACGGTGGCGCTGCTCCACTCGGTCCAATCGGTCACCGGCAGAGTCAAAGGAGCTCGATGCTCGGGTCGGTGCGTCCGCAGGACGAGCTGCAGGAGATCATTCTCTACTTGAGAGATCCGGACCGCTTCACCCGTCTCGGCGCCAAGCTCCCCAAAGGCGTCCGCCGTCCGCGGGCGTCCGCGTCGGACGAAAGGGGACGAGCTCCGTGGGAGCGGGGAGCAAGGAAAGCTGTCTATTCCAGCAGCACGGAGGTTCGGGTGGTTTATGGACACCCATGGACCCTTAAAAGTAGGACCTCCCGCCGAGGAGGTCCTTAAAAGGCCGATGTCCGAGAAACCATAGAAGTTGCTAGGGTTTCACCGCCGAGGAATCTGAGGAAACCCAGCAAAGGGGATATAGGATCCTGTGAAACCTTGGTCCACAATTTAATCGTGAGCAAGCTTGAAAAACGTCCACTCATTCAGATTCATGTAGAAATTGCGCACAAAAAATTTGTGTAGGATGCCATGCCAATGCTCACGATTGCTCACGATTGCTCACGCTAGCTATGAGCACACAGCAAATAAATGAGGGCGTGCAAACAAATGAGGGCGTTCATTTTAAAAGGATCTAAAATTGCACAATGCCAAATGTCCTCAATCAAGCCAACACCAGCAGTGAGGGCCCATCAAATAGCCCTCTCGCCGATGTTCTTTTTAGGACCTCGGACCTTGAATGGAAGAGTATCGCCGTTGTTCTTTTTAGGACCTTTTTTCTCAACAAATCCGAGGACCCTACAAAGTAGGACCTTGGACTTCCAGGCCTATGTATTTTCCATCCAAATAACCACCCCTTCCGTGGTGCCGGTAGGTGCAATGTGTCTGTGTGTGTTTCTGTGTGTGTCGCAATGGTCCGAGGTCTGGGTGATCGAGGTTTTGTTTGGGGCTGGCGTGGGCCGCTGGGGCGGCGTGGGCTTGTTTTTGATATACCAGGACCCCCGGACCAGGGGCTTCTATTGATAGCCCCTTAGATGTGATTCGGGGTGTCCATTCACCACCCCAAAACGGGGGCCTGATATGTGTTGATTTGGTTGTCACCGGCTTTAGCCCCGGAAGAGTCACCGACTGCAACCGGTTCCAAAGCGGTTTTGTGGAGCGAAAAGAACCAAGGTCGGTCCATGCCATGCCATCAGGTTCCATGACCCAGACACGACTAATGGGACTGCCATAGGACTGCCGCCCCATTGACCCCTCAAACCACCCTAACTGATCGGCATATATGGCAGTCCCACGTGGAGTGTCTGGGTGATGGGTCAGAACCTGGGGCCCGACCAGTCTACCAGAGCGAATCCACCAGTCGGTTTTCCTGGTTGTGACGCCGACCTCTTCCCCGGTGCAGTTCCGCTCGCATGAGGTTTTTACTTTTTTTGGACCTGAAGAACCCTAAAGCTATTTTAATAATCTTTGCGCTACAAGACCACCTTGGTCCCGAACTCTTTCATCGTCGAACGGAAGTCTAGGGTTTCTTGACCACCAACTCAGTGATTCCTACCAAGCAAAAGTGGATCACCTTGAAACCCTTTTTGTGGATCGGGGGTGCATCCACTCACATTCCAACAGGTATAATATGGTATAATCATCCTGGAGTAGATAGAATAGGAACCAATCCAAAAACATGACCAGTGTTCCATCTTTTATTTGTGTTGTTTTTTTCCATATTCTATCTAGTCCAGGATGACTATATAGAAAAAAGGTCGCAGCGCGGAGGTCAGGATTAAGCTTATCCACTCGGGGGTGACAACTGTTTTTTCAAGGGGAAGCTATCAAAACAATGTTAAACAAAGAGAAAGAACAACAACTGTTACAGTTCTGGACGACATGTTTTAGACTTCAGCTTCTTTGCAGCGTTTGGATTCATTCGGTCTCAGCGTGAGAAGTTAGAAGTTTCTCTTTGCCTTTTGGAGGACGGGAGGGGTAAGCAAGATAATAGATATATACATATTATATACCAGCACCTTCCAGCAGGTCTCCGAAATGGAGGGCTGTTAGGCCCTAACAGGTTTCAATTGGTGACCTGTTGGAGGTGCTGGTTTAGTTTGGTGTTTCTTTTGACCCCTTTGTCTCCCGATCCCTGAATCCCAACCAGCCCCGAGAAAAGAATGCCACCTGGACCTATCTGAATGTGTTTCTTGAAAAAGGAGGACGCAACTATAACTACCACGGTGAACGACACCGAACAAAGCAAGTGTCGCCCTCCTTGTCGCAGCTCACTGAACGACGCAGCGAGACCTGTCGTCCTCCCAAATCGCATCGTCCGATTTTTGGGTGCCTCTGAGAAATCGCATTACCGGCGCGAGTCCGAAGTGGATGGATTCGACCTGAGTCGACCTGGGAAATTGGACATGACCCCCTATGTTTAAAGAGGTAGATCATGGTAGATTTGTACCCGTCTTTTAGGAGTAGATGGTACTGAGGCTCCGGGTAGATGGCACTGTCGGCCTATCCGAGCTTCCCCTGGTTGAAAAGCATGCATCCCAGACCACTCAAAGACATGTGTGTTGCTTAGCAGTCTGGGAGCAGTCTGTGTTGCTGATTTCTTGGGTTTGTTGATCGTACACCACACCTCAGTTACGCTGGCTCGCTGATCTGTAAGATATGTTTCAACGATTTCGTTGTGCTTAGTCAAGGCAACCCACGTAACCTTTGATCCATGCTGCCTCTTCCTTGGTTGGGCCCTGACTGGGACCCCTATGTTTGCAGGATTGTTGGAAATGGGAAAAGCCCTCACTCACTTCTTCACATTCATTGACGCAACGATGGGCACCCAAAGTTTCTCCCCACGACGACGCAAAGAAGTTGTCAAGGCCACCACGCAACGAGTACCAACTATGGCTCGGAATGTTGCAGATCCGCACAGAATTTGAAAGAGCTTGACGTTGGGCAGACAACACCCAGAGTGACAATAGACAATAGATCCAGCTCAGTTATGCGGCATTGGGCCTGGAGGTTGCAAGGTGATCAAGGTGTTTCCCCTCAACTCCCTGGAGTTGTACTTGCCTAACGAGGCTTGGAACCCACGGCCCCGTGTGCTGCGCGTCATTTCCACACCACCTGCTTCTTGCCAGTGGCACTTGGGCGCCCAAAAGCAACAAGACACTGCCAGAGCAGGTCAACCTGCCTTGGCGGTCTCGGCTTCTTCAGCTCAACGCAGTGGAGAAACAGCCTCCACGGCCTCCACATGCTAAAGCTCCTCGATACTTTGCCACTTGCGCATATCAGCAGACTTGTGCCTGGGGTCCCTGCCTGGCTAGCTCCAATCAAAGAAGCCGGCGTGTCATGCAAATGGTGTTTAGTCGGAAAGAGCACAGCTGATGTTACAGTCGTGATGCCCCAGGCCCATGCAAAAGTAGACATGAGTTGATCCATCGGGCACCTCTTCTGAATTGTTCATTAAGACGTTCCCTCCTTCCCAGTTCTTGGCCGATGTCAAGGTCATGCAACTTCAGGTCCAAAACGTATTTTGCCAGTGATTTTGTCCCACATTTTTGTTGGTGAGGCCATTGCAGATCTACAAGGAAAAACTGGAAATACAGTACATGGTTGTGTTACTCACTGACTGTGTTGCGTTGGTTGATTGTTTGGCCTGTGTCACCACAACTATTCAAATGTTGCATGTTTTGACTCTGCATTGTGTGAAACCATCGAAATGCACAAGTCTAGATGGCGCCAGCTATGTTATCAGGACTGGCCCAGGGAAATCCACTGTTCGGAAGAGGTATTTGTTTGTTTATTGAAGTTCTACGACCAAGCCGATGCAAGACTATTGTGCCTTTGGCCAGGCGTGATGATGTCAGGTTCGCCAGGGACTGGCAAGACTCTCCTTGCAAGGGCCATTGCCGGTGAGGCTGGCGTGCCCTTCCTGCAGGCCGAGCTTGAGACCAGAAAACGTTGGAGAACCGGTTGTTCCATGGTGAATAGATTTCCCTCTCAAATACCACGGACCACAACGTGTGTTGTTCCTCCATGTGACAGGAGGTAAAGTTGTTTGTTCCTGGTGTACAGTTCATTTTGGTTGATACGTCTTTCAAGTCAATGTAATTTGCCTGCACGAATCAAGAGTGTCCAATAGTCTAGCAAAACAATTTCCAAAAGGTTGACATTTGTTCAGTTTTTGTAGATATTTTGTGTGTTCTTGGTACCTTGTAGATCATTCTTTTGTTAGGGGTCAGGAGTGAACAAACATCACAAGATATCATCAGGCTCAATGTAAGATGTGCGTGGAGTCTTTAAGGTCTTTAAGCTTGAAGATTTCGGGGAACTTCGACAGCCAGGTGGTTGAACATGGTTGAACCTACCCTCGTCACAGGTCGTCAAACCATGTTTCACCCAGAGCTTACTGTTTTGAGAATCTGCCACGAACTCCGCAGAAAGGAAGCACTTTGAAGCACCCGAGACCTTTCGGCTTTCCCAGGTGGATCGCACAACGGTTCGAGCGTCGGTGTTCGTCGCAGGCCTCAGGGAGCGAATTCGAGGAGATGTTCGTGGGCGTGGGCGCGCGGCGCATCAGAGACCTCTTCCAGGAGGCGTGCTCGTGCCTCGCGCGAGCCGCGACGACGGCGCGTCGCGAGTTCCTGCGGCTTCGGTTGCGAACCCCCCGGCGGTGTCCAGCAGTAGTCGGTCGGTACTTAAAGGTTTTGGAAAATGGTTGGGTTTGTTGACCTCACTGGGTCGGGTACAAACACTATACTTAAACACTCCATGGGACTGGCATAGGACTGCTGATCAGTTGGTGTGGTTGACAAGGCATTAATTAAGTTGGTATATAAGTTATAAGTTGGTATAAAGATTTCAAACCCATAATCCCATCGAGTATCATGGGGTGTATACGCAAATGATGTTTTTCTCACCAGGTTTTACGATGTCTCGCGACTGGACGGTTGACTGGTCGATGTCTCCCGCACTGCAGGACACAAACCACCCGCCCTTCCGGTGTAGAAAGGCCCTCTTCAGAGGGCGTGCCCGGCGTGCCCCCCGGAAAAGTGGATCACCTGCAGGGCATTCGAATTCGGCAGAATGGGGGTTGAACATGCTCCACTCAACTCCCACAGGTGGAGTTCGTTCCGCTCACACGGAAAATGGACTCAGGGGTGTCAGAGTTTTTAACCACCCAGGCACGACCTGTTTGGGACTGCCATACTTGCCCGCATTTCAGTTGGTTTGGGGGATCAATGGGCATATTCTATATATGGAGTTGCATGGAGCGTTTGGGTAACACATTTCTCCAAATCCTGCCAATTAAACAATAGGGGACCAAAACCGATGCTGACCCAGATTCTCAGAGAGTACGGAGTAGTGACAGTGAAACAAAATCAGAATCATTTGAGCTATGGGTCCAAAAACGGATCTAAATACCTTGACCTACCCAGGAAAAGGTGGACAACTGTTAAGCCTTTTTTGGGTTGGGGACACCCCACTAAGTATGAAAACATGGAAACAGGTTATATTATATTATAATAACTGGTTCCTTACATTGAATCGGAGGGATTCAGGTAGTCCATTCTGTTCATCTTCCGTGGTGAACCAGGGCTCCCCCAATTGAAAGACCCACAGCGATTATATAGGGTCCACAGACATTAGTAAGTATCCTTTCCCTAGCCTTCCAAGACCATTGAATCAAAGGAAAGGATGACCTGTTGTAGTCCATCAGTTTATAGTCTAGAAGTTGCTCCTTCTTGTCTTGTTGTTTGTTTTTTATGGTTTGTTTGTTTGTTTGGATGGATGGATCCGTAGCCATTTTGGCTCAAGTTGTGCGCGATTTGAGTCGTGACTGCGAATGGTCGGTCTCCCAGAGGCTGTCCTCTTTGTGTTAGTGATTTCGATCACTGTTGTCTTTGCTTTGCGGCTGGTGTTGGTTGTACATCATGCTATCACTCATGTTTTGGCATGGCGATGGTTTTTGATGATCCATCATCTTCGTGGAAGGGTGGTGATGGACAAAGTTCCTCCTCGTGGAAAGGGAACGACCGGTCTGGTTCGTCCAACTGGAATGGGTGGTAGGATGTTGCTGTACCTACTCTGTATTCACATGGCGTCGTGCAATGCGGCTCAATCTGCAGATGATGCGATTTCGGGTCATCAAGATTATTCCGGTCAGGGCTTTGTCCGGGCTCAGGTGACCCATGGTCATCGTATGCTGTGGACATTGACTCACACGAGTGCGTTGCGTTTGGGTGATGTTGTTGGTTCTTTTGAATATATTCCAGAAGATCTTTATTATGCGGTCATCCAACGTGGGACGAGAGATCAGTATGGTGAACTGGAGAATGTCTGCGACACGGATGATGATGACACCACCTTTCATGAACGATTTGGTGTGGAGGCTCCACTGTTATTCGCGATGATCGTGGCCACTTTGCACCGATCTCCACTTCATGTCGTGGGGGAATGTGGGGTGTCGGCGGAGATGAGTTGTGTATGGATTTAAGGAGATGTATGCCCGTCCTGGGTGTGCCTTCGTCGGTGCCGTTGGGATGCTGTTTGAGGTGGTTCCGGAGTTCGCGACTATCATCACGGAGCAGTCCGCTTGTTTGTACGGTGAGTTGTGGACTGTTGGCACTGTATATGCCACTACTAGTCACCTTCCGTGGGGGCGCTTGGCATCGTACTAGGATCCACTCGGAGCCCCAGTGCCATAGTCTAAGTGGCACGCCCGGAGCTTGCTGCTGCGCAGCAAAGCCAGATTAGAGGACATCAGCAGGAGTGATCACGATTCCGATCGGGGCGAAGAGTTTGTAGTTCCAGGGCTGATGCAGAGCCAGCCTGGACCTTGTATTCAGCTACAAGGTTCCGGGTTGGAGTGAGAATCCAAACCTCAAGGCTCTTGGAAGCCCAGGACTTTGGACGGTACAATCGGCAACCAGAAGTCTGGAGACAAAGTGGAAGTTCAAAGCTGGAGACGGTGACCTTCGGCTACACAAAAGCTCGGAGGAAAGTGACAACTCAAAGCTTGAGA